ATCTGGTGTTCAGTATGGAGCTAAGGCAGATGTTGATAAAAGTCTCAAGCAAGTTGTTGATAATGCTTTCCGTGGAGCTGGCGCCTAGCTTCTGACCCATATAGAAGAGTTGACCAACTTGACATTGGTGTTGAAAATCTGAATTCTCTTCTTTATTCTGAGTGTAGGAGATTTTCAAGCTGATTTCAGAGTGATAATTGTTTGTCTTGCCTTTCCGATTCTGGCTGGTTTTGACATTGTAATCCATAGAGACGCCTGTATTTGAAATTAAGCGAAGGCAGTGACCTCTTTCAAATTTATTCCCTTGATAGATACCGGTGCTTGTTGTTGTTGGTTGCTTATTTTCATCACGCACCCTTCTCAGTATTTACTTGAAGTCCTGCTTTGCTGCTTCTTCTGACAGTTTTTCGGTTTTCATCTTTAACTCTTTGAGTTTATATGACGTTACACAAGAATCATTCATGAAGTTCAGACCTTCTAGATTATTTTCATCGGCCCAGAGTATTCCTGTCTTTTCGCTGCCCACTCACAATATGCTGCAAAATCCAGTCCATCACAGTTACATGATAGAAGGTAACCATGTCTTACTCCTGCCTTCGCTGAGTCTTCCTTTGTGGATTACTTGTCATCTCGCCTAGCCATATAGATGTTGAGTTAGGTTGATAAAGATTTCGGACTTTCCGTAATGCTGAAGTAGTTTCCAAATTACTATGCAGTAACTTAGTCGACTGCATTTTCAGGCCAATCACTAGAGGACAATATGATTCATCAATTGTGAATCACTTCTGGATTTAGATGGTTGGAGGCAATCGGCCACAGGAAGCCCAACCTGACCTAGGTTTCGTGCTAGTTGGCACTTACCAGTCATCAGCAAGGCCTATCTGCAACTGCCTTGAAGGAACACATGTCTCTTCTGATATTTGAACCTGCGTCATCCAGTACAGCATGTACTCAGAGGCGTTACGACAAGGGAGCTTTTCGGGCTCGCGATTTACCTTCTGAATGACTTTGGTGAGGACTGAATTCTACCAGTCAATTTTACAAGGGAGTCTTTTGGCCACATTGCAAGCTTGGTTGATGGAATTCAGTCTGCACCGAAGACAGGACTAGACATACATATTACACTCGTTACTGATTAGTGTACAATCAAAAATACTCCAGGATTTATTTCACAGAATTTTGCTTTGGAAATGTCTGACAGGAAGAGAAGGAGTCTATCAATAGTGTACTTTTATCCTGAAAGCCTTAAGCACTGACTGAGTGACAGCATGTAATTAAACGACAAATTTCATGATTTTCCTATTTTCTCGTTGAAAGCATTCATTAAATGACTTCGGCGAAGGTAACTGCTGGTAGCACGGATTCGTCACATGCAATAATGAGTACACGCCACACGGCTGTTGCGCAATCTGCTGATTATTGCTTCACATGGTCAGATATTTTAGGTAATTTTGAAGAATTTTAGGAAGCCTGTACTTGTTTGTCCTGATGAATAATAAAGGAGTAGGTTCCATAATACTTTAAACTGGTGAAGATTTGAGATATTTTCACCGTTTGATAAATGCCAGGAAGGTACTAATAAGGTGGAATAATGTCTAAATCTGTTGCAATGTTATTCTCACTCGATTAGATACAGTGTATTTCTTGAAAATTTATTTCATTCCTTTACGTTCCCAGTGAAACATAGGGGGGTAAAGCTATAGGCTTGAGGTTTCGATAGAAGTGGTGTTTATTTTTACAGGATGGAGTTGCTAGCTTCATGCCAAACTTAACCTTCCCTCTTTACCGGCCTTATAACCGGCTTACCGAGGTAAAGGAGTGCCTCATCGGCCGAGGATGGAACCCCAGACCTGACGTGTGGTTGGCGAACATTCTACAACTTAGCCGCTGATGCTGAGTTACTGTGTACAGTCACGGCAATTTTGCGTGTATGATAGAGGCAGTTTTCCTAGGAGATACATCTGATTACTCTGGAATGTCATTTACACTTTCAATTGATGAAGTAAGAGAGACATCATGAGGTAGATTACAGATTAGGTAGATTGCCCAGTAGCTAGCAACGTATCTGCCTAGAATAACAAGGCACAAAACAATAGTAACGGCTTTGTTTTAAACAATACTTCTGGCACAGTGTGGAATTTTCAGCATGTGGTGCAACATTGCATCTAATTTTCTTTTTATACAGTACAGGGGGAAATAATTATATTGTAAATATATTGTTTAATAAGAATATGAACTTAAAGTTAAAATTTAAGCGGAAATATTAACAGCAATATAATAATTGAAGAACCGTTTACTTAGTGTTTCGTGCATTTATTCCCCTTGATGAATTTGAACAAAGCAAGAACAACAGCGATTTGTGCAGAATAAGATAATGGTACCGTCATTGTTTATTTCGTTGGCTTCTCATCAGCTCAGCTGCTTACAGCCTAAATAAATTATGAGGTTTATGTACAGATAAGTTTTAATATACGTGCAAATGTTACACGATGTCTATCAGTTGACAGGATGTTTAGGGCTTAGTGAACAGTGATCACAAAATTGCACTTATATAGATTTTACCCAGGCAATTCAAGTTTAAACAAAATAAATGTATGCATACAATGGTAAAGGAGTTACCTAATAAAGACGAGAGATGCGTAAGATGCAGAGTGACTAATAATGCAGGTAACAATGTGCTGAGTTCAACCGGAAACATAGAAACAAGAGACATGCAAAATTACACTATATCAAAGGGGGGATGGTGAAGTTAAAGCCAAGGATTATGTAATGAAATGAAAGAGGGAATAAAGACACTCAATTACCAGGATGGGCAAGGAAAGATTGACAACTACTTCTTTCTGAACACACAAATCTGGTTTCAAGCGTTTGACAAAAATTGCTTTGGCAAACTTGAGGAGAATGGAGCTCCTTTGTCTATTGATAATTTTAAACGATTTCGCGATTTCCACCTCATGACCCGCTATTGTAAGAGTTTGTTCCCTTGAGACGTAGGCTTTTCGGTGCATGTTCAGAAAATCGGAGGTGTGCCCTTCTTTCTGTCCTCCGAATGTAACTTAGTGTTTCTCAGTAAATTAGTAGTGCCACTGCCTACACTTTTTTATCACATAACATGTGTGCTATATAAGGTATTGTAGAGATTTTGTGTGTAGTCGTCCGAGCGTAAAGTCTTCTGCAGTTGCTTCTAGTCCTACCTGACGAGATTCAAGGAGATAGTTGTGTATGGACAGGATGACCAGAGTTCAGAAAGACAGTGTTCGCTATTTTATTGCAGGAATCCAAGTGTTTATCTGCGACAGGGTTAACAAGTTGGTTAAGCAAAATCCCACTTTCCCATTTGCAGTGTAACAAAATCATTCTCAAGTACCTCATGAAAGATTAAAGGAGAGCAATAAAGATGAACAGCCAGAATGTATGAGTCAGCAAACTGCAAAAGTAGAACCTGAGTGATGCCCGATTGTCTTAACTTCCTTATGTAAAAGGTAAGAGGAAATACCCTTCTAGAAATGAGTATGATGTGAGACAACCAGGAAAAATCAGACGAAATACACGATCCAAGATATTCAATGTCCAAGTTGACCTCAACCTCATGAAAAGAAATATAGCAATTTTCATATTATATCCCTCTGTGCCACGTAACTTTGAATGGTATCCAAAGGATAACGACAGCCTCTTAGGCGTAACTGATGAGATTTCCATTTGTCGAAACAATTGATGTCATATGTAGAATAATTCATAGAATGGATAGAACTTGAAAAAGAGCGTGCAATTATAGGATTAGTAGACAAATCGAATAAAATAAAATGAAAACGTTACGTAATATTGTGTGAAATTTAAAAGCATATAATTTAACGTTATAAAAAAAGAATTGATTTAGAATGACAAGTGGAACAAGTGGAATAATACCGGGGACAGTTCAAAGTGAGAGTAGTATTAGTAATGCTTGACGTAATAAGGAAGAGAATACAAATTGAATAGAAAAAATGAAAAAATGAAACATTGGTAGAGCCGGTATTATTTCACTTGTTCCACTTGTCATTCTAAATCAATTTTTCTTTTTTTACAACGTTAAATTCTATGCTTTCAAATTTCACAAAATGTTACGTAAAGCTTTTCTTATATTCAATTTGTCCTATAACTGCACACCCTTTTCCAAGTTCTGTTTCCACTTGCACATCTCACTCGACCTATAATGACGCTAACGGTTGCTGACGATATAACTGGTTGATAGTTTAGATTTAACACCGATCTAATCACCTATCGGCATCGATTGGAAAACCAGTGAAAATCACGGAGTTTTGGACAGCTGCTGTAGTCGTATTCTAAGTCACTCTAGGAATACGTGCCTATGAACTTATTGTGGATCGAACCAACAAGTTTACAAAGCCAGTGGGTAAGTTAGCATTCAGTTATCGGATCGGAATCCAATTACTCGTGAATTGTAACTGCTGGGAATTCGTGACATCTTTTTAAAATCCCTTTACTTTCCCAGTGGAACATAGGGAGGGCTTCAAGCTAGAGGCTTGAAGTTTCTGTAGCAGTGGTGTTTATATTTTTATGGGGTTGCTAGCCAACCTCATGCCCAGCCCAGCCTCCCCTCTTTATCAGTCTTGTTGCTGGCTTAGTGAGGTAAAGGAGTGCTTCGTCGGTTGCCGGGGATCAAACCCCGGACCACATGTGTGGTTGGCGAGCATTCTACCACCGTGCCTCCGATACACAAATTCGTGAGATAGCGTTACTGAAATTCAGCACCATCGAAAACAACCTTCTACGTAGACCCTTGTCCTAGTTTCGGTAGTCCTCTCTCTAACACTGATCAGTCCTCGTTTTGATTTGAAATTCCTACCCAAATGTTTACTAGTTATACTTATTTTTGTTATTGGTACTAGCTATTGTTCAAGCCCTATTACATAATCAATTGATTGCACTTTTATTGTATTGTAAATTTACAGGTCAGAATAAAAATGTTTGCGGGAAAAAGTCATTCAGCACTATTAACTATGAACATTATTGTGGCTGTAAGTTAACAGTTACACATACTTATTTAAATGGTTGTATTTGATTATTCATAGAACTTCATTTAAATATTTAGAGGACAAAATGAACAATTGAGTGAAGAAATATTTACCTTTTTTTAATTAAATACTTGTCAGATTGTTTCACATTGTTATTTATTCCGAGTGGAGCATAAGATTTTAACCTTGGGCATTGAAGTTTCAGTAGAGATGTTGATGGTAGTGGTGTTTTCTCGCCCAACATTCCCCGTTTTTTCTGATCATGCTACCAGCTGTTAAATTAGTGGAGGTTTCTGAGTGTATTGGCGGTGAAATGAACTCCTGCCACACACGTGGCTAATGAGCAATCTACTACGAAAATACTGATGCTCGATGTGTTATTATTATAATTGATCCCTTTAGTTCCTAGAGGAACATTGAGATTCATCTGCATGTCTCTACCACCTTCGAGTCTCCGAAAACGTTTTCACCTCTCTTTACGTATGCCCACATGCTTCCAACTCCTTTTCACATCAACTCCTAGATGTCACCCTCGCAATGACGACAAACTTGTTGCTTCCCATTCGGGTTCCACTAGACAGAGAGCCTTGCGTGTGATGTCACTCACTTGATGGTTTGTTTTATCACAGTATGACCACCAATCCACCTCCATTTCTTCCTGCATATTTCTCGCACAACTCGTTCCTGATGGGTTGGTCGGTTCATTGTCAGAGATCCCTGTTGCTGCTGTTTTCCTCCCGGCAATCTCATCTTGAGTAGTATTAAGAGAAGACAGCTGTTGCTGAAGATCTGCAGTTTGTTAGAAGTTGTTCGAAATGCCCTTCGTGACGTGGCGTGGCGTGGCGCCAATTCTGTGATCCGCATAGTGAGTAGCACTGACTTCACATTAGAGTTGAAATTCCGGATATCATTTTTCATGCTGATTACTGCTATTGGTCTCCACACAGACTTGCGAATAATGAAGGCTTGACTTTCCCGATCCTTGCACTTACATATTTTCATGAGTTCCGTCAGCCTGTAGTTGAAATGATGCTTCCCAGGTAGGTAGGTTGTGTAGCTGAAGGAGGTTCCTTCTTTCAGATTTCTACAATTTATGCTGATTGATGTCTGTAGTTGTTGTTGCTGTCGGTGTTGACCAGGAATCTTCATCACCTCCGTTTTCTCTATGTTCACTTGAAGTCCTATCTTTGATGTTTCTTCTGCCAACTTGTTGCTTTTCACTTGCATATCTTCCATTTTGTGGGAAATCAGACATATATCATTGGCGAAGTCCAGATCCTCCAAGTTTTTTGTGTGAGTCCATTTTATGCCTGTTTCCTCATTGCCCGCTGTCTGTGGCATCATCCAATCTACTGCAATCAGGAAAATCATTGACGATAGTAGGCAGCCTTCCTTGTTTTACTCCCGTCTTCACTTTGAAGGATTCCGTGAGTTTCACATTGTGAACTACTTGGCATGCAACTGTTGGATGAGGAGTATAATTGTTGGCGGCAACCCGTAGTAGCGAAGTATTTCTCAAATAACCTCTCAATCGGCGCTGTCTTCTGAAGGCCTTCTCAAAGTTAATGAAGTTGAGTGAGGTAGAGAGGTGACTGCCATTTCGAGCTCTGTTCAATGATGATACGTGATGTTGTGACTGGATCGATGCATGACTTGTTTCTCCTGAAATCAGTCTGTTCCGGGGTGTGTTCAATTCTCTTCAGGATGATGCAGCTTGGTATTTTGTTTTGGATAGACAGGAGCATAGTGCCACGCCAGTTCTTGGATTAACTGAATTCTCCTTTCTTTGGCAGTCTGAATAGGTAGATCGTCTGTGGCCATACGATAATTCAATACATAATTTACCAATCTAGTGATTGTAAGTTCATTAACAATAAATAAGCAATATCAGCTTCGTAAAGGGATGATAACAACTCGATAAAAATTAGTGTAACAATAAAAAGGGGTGGAAATCTGCGTGGAAATCAGATCAGGTGGTTGGGCAATGTATAATTTATAAGTCGATAAAGAAGAAGTACAAGAGGACAAACACAGTTGTTCAGAAGTCCTATTCTACACTACCTTGTTGGTGCTGACCATAATATTAACTTTTACAAAGCCAGTTCTAATTTTTCTCTACAATTTCACCCCACACATATTGCAGAAGCCAGTGGAACTGACCTGAAGAAGACAAATCTGTGATTTCGGAAGGAATTTGTACAGCCCCTTTATATATATTGAGCATGTTAATAGGAATGCTGAAAGTGACTAATTTCCCCACTCCAAATCATATTTATCAGGAGGAAAGCGAGACAGGCGTTTATTAATCTAAAATCAATATGGAGGTCAACAGTACAAAACTCAGGGAACAATAGTTGAATTTGTTTATTCGAGTTTGACCATGGATTGATATTGGTTAAAGAACCACTGAAAACCACCAGGGCGTACTGGAAAGCCATACCCACAGGGGTTCGAACCCAGGACCTTCCGGTTACAAGGCAAGCTAGGTCGTATACCATTCATCCACTCAGACCCACCCTGTCAATGGCCAGTCCATGAATTCTAACTCCTGCCAATTCATGTGCCATTGAATGGGATCCCAGTGGCTGAATGGTATACGAGCTAGCTTGCCTTGTTACTAGATGGTCCTGGGTTCAACCCCCTGTTGGTGTGGGTGCGTGCTGCCGATGATTCCCAAACTCGGCTGACGAAACATCTGTCCAGTACTCCTGCCTGATTTCAATGGTTCTCTAACTGTGATATCAATCCGTGGTCAAACTCGTATAAACAAATTTAATGCTTACAAACCAACTCTTGAAAAATATTCGAATTCTTAACACTAAATGCAAGTTAATGCTTTCATATGGTTCAGAGAACTGATGTTTCAATAAAACCATCTACAATAAACATTTATTCACACCCGAATTTTTCCCCCAATACTAAAGATCAGATCGCCATAAACGAAAAACAGTAAGAAACTCAAGTACCGCAGCAAATAAACTAATAACATATTACCCAACAAATATTCAGATGGAGAAATTGATGGATTCAACATACTCGGGGGAAACCTTCAAGTGAAATCATACAACAGGCTGTGGAGTAGAACCTGAACAGGAATCGGCGAGTTAGGGATGGCTTTCAGAGTGGTGTGAAGATTCTGTGGAGAAGATATGAAAGCCTGTGGGCAGTAAGGGAATCGTCAGGTGATAGTGCCGGTAGCTTAGCCAGTGGAATAAAGATGTGCCTCTGAGGCCGTATTTCCCTCTAAAAACTGATGGAATGGATAATAATAATAATGTAGTCATCTATTTTAACTTAGACAGGAAAATAAGAACAAGTATTTTAGAAAAAAAATTATTCAGCATTTTCAGTCACTATGCTGTACATTTGCATGCTGTATGTGTACTGTACAGCTGTAGTGTGCGTCGGTGGTACAGCGGTAGAATGATCGCCGACCATGCAGGTGGTTCGGGGTTCGATACCCGGCTGACGAGGCACTGCTTTACCCCACTAAGGCGGTAGTAGGGCTGGCAAAGGAGGGAGGATGCACATGAGACTAACAACCCCATCCTGTAAAAGTAAACACCACTTCTACCAAAACTTCAAGCCTCTAGCCTGAAGCCCTATGTTCCACTGGGAACGTAAAGGAATTACATATATATATATACTGTACAGTCGCAATTATATTTAATTATTTTTGTGTTCATGCATATTCAGTTTATCAAACGTAGCAAGGAAGGAAATTAATTTTGATCACTGTTCACATCATCAAAATATTTTAGAATATAGTGGAAATTAATTGGAACATATTTAAGGCAGTGAGTTCTGACCAGTGATTAGTTATGGCGAAAAACTGCCAGTGAGTAAAACGTAGAGACATTGCACTGCGTAACAGATCAGTGCAGCAAATGGGAGGGGCTGATTAAGAAAATGATGCTTACAGCTACATCATAAAATATATAAGACAAAAAGGGTTATGACAAGAAAGATATTATTGATGGATGAGTTCGGAATTGTAGGCGAATAACAAAGAAGCCTGGCAACGAGTCAATGAGGAACGTATTGCTCAACAAATATGAAGAAGAAGAAGGGAATGGAAATGGATTGCAAACACGGTGAGAAGACTGTTGAGTTAAATGATGCCCCAGATGCATCGGAAAAGACGAGTTGCTCCTCAGAGAATGACATGGAATCGATTATGTGAGGAGAAAATGAAAGCTTACGAACGACTGTGAAAGTCAGTAAGCTGTCCGTTCCACGTCGAATTTCTGTAGATAGATATTTTCAGTGTTCCGTCTTGTTCTCACCTTGTTAGTTGAACGTCAAGAAAGGATATTTTGGAGTTAGACTCTTAAACTTGCTCATGTTGAGCCAGGTATATCGGCCGTACTAAGCGTTTGCTTTCCAAACATATCACCGAACACTTACCAGCATGGTTTTACAGAGGAGGAAGTCGATGGTCCCGCAGCTCTATCTTAGAACATCTGATAGATTTCAGAGACCAAGCTACGCTCCAAACAAAATTCAGAAGTCACCTACAGAATACGAAGCAGTCTTCGTAAAAGTGTAAGAATCAGACTTCTTTAAACTGCAGAAGCAATAGCAATTAACTTGCTAAGTCCTGAACTCTGCACACAGAAGAAGTTCGTTCAGTCACTACACTTGTAATGGACGTAATCTATCTTATTACCCGAAAGGTAAATTCTTTTTCTTTCTTTCTATCTCTTCAGTAGTATTATTTCGTGTTTTCAATTGTTATATTTTACATTTACAACTTTCTTCTTCTCTACTCCTACCCGATTTAATTTCTACACCTCATTAACACTGTTACTGACTTGAGCAGCACTCAATTTCTAGTCATTTATGTTGCGTCATCCATTTTGTTTGCCCAATTTTGAGTCCTAATTTAAATGGCATTATTCTCTACTGCACCTTTATTTAGTCTCTACCTGTAATTACCTCTGTTGCTATCCTGAACTAAGTTGAAACACGTTAGTCAATTATATTACATCATCTAACTTACT